CATGTGCTACATGAAACCCAGAGAGTATTTCTAGAAAATGATGATGGTTTTCTAAACTAGTCAAAAAGGGGAGGGTTATTTTAGCCCTAATGCACTCCACTATGTCAAGTTGTTTGCTTGAATTATTTATGTGTATATTGCAAATTTTAAAGTAGGAGCATCAGAAGCACTTAAGCCAGTGAGAAGTTAAGGACCTTGTAGGTCATTCAAGGAGAATGTTAACTAGGGCAGGCAGCGGTGGCTGAAGAATTATGTCCAATCCACTTCAAAAGTCACAGGAGCTTGGATGTCAGCCAGACCTGGATATAAAGATTAATTTGACTACTTAGTAACTGTATGTATGGAGGCATTTAACACTCCCTCCCCCAAGACTCATTTTCTATAATTCTAAACTGGAGATCATATATTCAGAATTAGTACATTATTAAAAGATCCAGTAATTGCAAAAAGAATTGAATGTATAGATGAAAGGAATTATAGATATTATTTTTGAGATTATTTTTATTTTCCTCCAGTTCCAGGGACCATAAGAATGCATATATATATATATATATATAATTTTATTTATATATAGTCAAAACACCCTTGGATATCTTAGTGAAGAAAATATATACCTTATATGATTTAAAATCTATAGGGAAAACCTATTAGTGTGTCATAAATATCCTTGAGTGCTTTTTTAAGTATTGGTCCCCAAGTCCCATCTCCCAAGTCACTGAGTCACAATTTCCAAGAGAAGAACTTTAATGTTACCTGTGTAAGGTGTAATCATTTAACCCTAATCATTTGAAAATCTTGATGGATCAGTCACACAGACAAAAATGTAAAATAGAACATCAAATAGATCCCTGCCTTACTGTGGTGTGGATAAATGATTCAGTAATTCCAAGTCAAGATAAAAAAAATACTTATATTTTCCTCACTTTGCACCTGTGAGAACATATTCAACAAAAGGGACAATCAGAGAAAATTAAATATAAAATGAGGAAGGATAGTTACAAAATACATCTGAACCAAGCTGTGCATGGTAAACCTAAATGAGAAAATATTCATTGTCAGATAAGGTTCTTCTAGAACTAGCAGCTGGAAAATCAAATTTCTCCCCATTCTCAAATATTATGAAATTTGGATCATGTATGATCTGTGAGAAAACTGAGTATGTTTTGTTCAAGTCTAAATAGTGATATTTATTGGCCAACCGAAAAAGTGCACTTAAGAAGTCTGAAAATCACCCTGCCTTCTTTTTAGGACAGTGAATGTCAGCAAGTCAAGGTTCTCTAAGTTGAAGAGTACTGAGATCAACAATGTCCCTAGGACAAGAATCAGCAGCCTAGATATTAAAAAGCATTTAAACAACTCTCAATTCAGGTTGAAGAACGAATGCCCAGAACACATATAGATGGTGAGCATTATTCTATGAAGAAAAATGAACTAAAATAAGAGTGACGATGATAGTAGAACCATTTGTGGCATAAAGCTCAATGGTGACGGAATGAGATACAATCTTACCAGCATCTCCATTCTTCATCTTTCATCTGAGCTTGGGTCCCTAGTATTATCTCCACTTGACAGAGGAAGAAAATCAGCTTTAAGGCAGTTCAACTCCTTCATTAGGATATAAGCTTTTAGATGATTAAATCAGGCTTGAACTTATACAATTTAACCTCTGAGACTGATTTCTTTCTGTTTCATTTTAAAGTTGCATCCCAGTACACTGCCAACATGTGATAATAAAAACTGAAACAATTAAAAGAATAAAATATAAAATTTCATCCTAAGAAATGTATAATGTGAAATAAGATATGTAAATATGTAATGTGGGCAAATAAGATATGTACATATGTAATGTGAAATAGCAAATATGTAATGTGAAATAAAGAAAAATGTAATGTGAAATCTGGTCCCAATTTTTGATGTTTTAGATTGATCTCCACCTCTTCCCTTGATACTCCACATCTAGAAAAGTTTATTGGTAAACCTTCATATTTCTTCTTTTAATCTCATTGGGAAAGTCAAACCATGCAAAGCCCTGATCTTCTGGAACTCTCATTCAAGCCCTAAACACTTAAACTGTAAAGAGAACCCAAGTCAGTCTCGGAGTCTTCCTGTTTTGGGTCATTTTTAGACATTCTTGATAGTCTTGCCCTGCATATTGCAGAGATGTCCATGTGACATAAGGAGTAAGCCTTTCCTACTCTGTTAGCATATGTCAGTATATGAGTGTGCAACTGTGCATCTCTGTGTGTGTATAATTATCAATTTTGATACCCAGTTTTGGGTGCATATCATCTTTCTCTGCAGGACACCTTAACGAACGTGGTATTTACCGTCTTCAACTTTTCTTTTCCATACGCACTAGTTTGATACCCTCTATAGTGACTTCATTCCATTCATTCTATTGAATTCAGTCAAATTCTTTCAACAGCATTAACACATATTGAACACAATAGGTCTTCTTTTCTGAACACTGAAAATTATCCCTAACCAAATACAGTCACATTTCCTTCTGATCTGGGGCTGCTTTGGCATTCTTTTCAGAATTAGTTTTTGCAGACAGACTTGATTATGTTGAGAAGAGAGATGAAATGTTTGTATCTCTCTAGACTTAAGGATTTGTTTTAGGATAAGCAAAGAACTACCGACATTTCTCACCTACCCTCTGAGTACAAAATATGCCCAACATACAGTTGTATTTGGAAATACTAAATAAATGGAAGAAGGCTGTGTCACACAAGCCCATCAAAGAAGCAGGGAAAATTAAAAAAAAAAAAAAATGTCAGGGGTGTACCGGAGGTTTAAACACAACTTCAGGGGTTTTACTTTTTAGTGTTGAGACCTGTGGTTTCCTAGTGAAATTTTTTCTCACAATTTGACTATAAAAAATAGGCAATCAATGAAGCAACAGTCAAACTTATTTTTCTCAGCCATAGCTGAGTAGCACCCATTAGGGGGACCCTCACAGGTACACTTACATTCTTGAAAAAATATCATGACATTCAGGGTTTGACACAGTTTGCAGAATATCCCTTGGAAATGTTTTGCCTTTCAGCTGCAAAAGTTGCTCTAACAAAGTGGATGTTAGAAGAAGCTCTCGGGCACCCCTGCCTATATCTCTAGCTCATTATCTCCTCATTACAGGGAACCTCAAGGGGATGAAGAAAATGCATTCAGAAAAATACGTTCATGTTTTATTGATTGTCAGCAGAGCTCCAGTCTTTGAATACTCACACTTTGGGATATTTTGTTAGGAAAATAAGCACAGTAAGCCCTGTTTACATGCTGTCTTCCTTGTGGTACAATTGAATCCAGCACAGCACAAAACTGAACATCTTCTCCAATTAGGTGCACATAAGACACTTCCCCATAGGCATGTATTGGGACTTCCAGTGACCCATTGCTTATTGTCTTAACTCACTTATTCATTCCCCTCTTTTGATGAATGAGGAAGCCAAAGTTCAGAGAATTTAACTGGCTTGTACATTGTCACACAGTCATTATTTATATTTCCTAATGTTTGCATCATCTTTTCTAATTATTCTAACAAATTTATTTACCACATTTCTGGAGGAAAAAAATAAATAGTAGTTTTCACTTTTCCTCTATGAATATATCAGGAAGTTCAGAGCCCATCTGGATAAGAAATGCTGTGATAATTGAGTTCCTGGCAAATCCAGAACATACTAAGAGTTAACCAATCGGGGTAGTGATAATGCTGGAGGTCTATCAAGCAACCGAGTAGTGAATGAAGCTGAGAGAGCTCATTCTGAAATAAAGGCACAGCTCTGTGGAAACATGACAGTTATCTTGAGGAAAACTGAATTAATTGAGTCTTAAGGGAAGAGACTGGTAAAACCAATGAGAAAATGGTAATAAGCATGGATTTTGGAATCAGAAAGGATGGCTAGTAAAACTTGGGGCAAAATATTAAACTTTTTGTGTTTCTGTTATCGTGTCTATAAGTTGAAGATAATACCATATCAGACATTACTTTATAAGGTTCTTGGGAAAATATATTAGACTATGGAGATGGTGACTTTTTTTTTTTTTTTGTCTTTTTTGTTTTTTATCGGTACCAGGGATCGAACTCACGACTGTCTGCTTGCAAGGCAGGTGCTTATGCCGCTGAGCTGAATCCCCAGCCCAGATGGTGACTTTTTATTATAAGGCTGCTGTGTTGGTGTGTATTGTGAGCACTTATTGTATATAAATCTAGTTTTATCCCCATAGTAAACTATGAAGCCCCATTATTTCGGTTTGGTAAAGAGATTAACTGGGACACAGAAAAAGGAGCTTTCTTTTGGAAAACCAAATTTTTGGATGTTTTTTATCTTAATTTTTGTTGCCACGATTGTTTTGCTTTTATTAAGACAGACTAACTCTAGAATCCTTAATCTTTATTACTGTGCACAATGTGACATATTTTAAGGTCCGTTTATTGAGACATAGTGTCTGCTCACAATATGATAGCTTTTATCATCATCATCATCATCATCACCCTCATCAATAACTTTATATGAAAAAATTAATGATGATAAAGGAAAGAGAAAATAAAGAAGTAATTAATGATAATTAAAGAATGTGTGACTTGCCTGCTCCTTAGATCATATTTCCCAAATAAAAATAGGTACGTCCCATTACTGGTATAATAAACAACACAGTATTGTGTAGCCAGAAAACAGATACCAAACCCTAAATTTGAAGTTCATGAATGACAATTCATAGCAAACACTGATGTGTCACCAAGTAAGAAGGGTCCTTTTCATGTCCAGTTGTGCTTAATTTGTTTTGTGTTCTCACTAGAAATATAGTGTTCTCCACTGGAAAGATGGGATTATATACTATTTGAACAAAAATGTTTTCAAATACCATGTTGTTAATATAATACATGTATATGAAATAGACTTGCATACAGTTTACTGATGCATTAAAAAATGAAGTTAATGATTTCAAAACAGAAGAACCTGTTTTATTCTTACATAACAGAGTTTCATGTGTGATGAGAAATGGAAGTATCAGAAGCATGCGAGATTTTCTATCTACATGTGTGGACACTAAGAGAGTTGGAATGTTTGACAGTCAAAAAATGATAAGTAGATTTGAAGTACTCTCCTGTGGAACTCAGCTCACCAAAGCAATTGAAAACTGACCAAGATTCCATCTTGAACTCAAGAGAGTTAAAATATATTACGACTACTATTGGTAAGTGTAGGGAGCGGCTCAGAATGGCTGCCACTGTCCTGCCCCTCCCACCTGAGGGCATTTTGTGTGTCAGCCTACATTTCCCATGATCCTCCCCTTGCCTACAATGTGATGACATAAGCACCTTCTTGCTTCAGCCTACATCTTCCATAATCCCCTCTTGTTGACATCACTTCCAGTTACCTATGTGTCAACATATGACTTCCTGCTAGCCTGATAGGCCCACGGCATATGAGGAGATCCAAGCCGGCCCATCCTGTAAAGCCATATCCCCTTTGACTCTATATAAGCCATGTACACTTCCTGAATAAACGGGACTTGATTGGAATTGGTCATCTTGTCCTCGTCTCTCGTTTCTCTTGCCTAGCCCTCCATCCCCTTCCCCTCTCCAGGCGAAGCCTATGGACCGATCCGCGGGCTGGATCAGGTAAGTTTGGACTAGCCCAATGACTGGGGCTACTTGATAGAATTATACAGTCTCGAAAGAGATATATTGTGGCATAATTATGAACTTTCAATTTTGCAATACAAGTAAGATACAGAAAGAATAGACACATCAGTAAAAAAAGATACTTCCTTATTCATATGCTCATTTCTAACTTATATATTATATTAGTGCACATTTATAAGCTTTCATTATGCATTAACACAGGGATTCTCAATTGATGGTAACTTCCAGTGTAGACATTTGGCAATGTCTGAACACATTTTGATTAATAAATCTGGAGCGGTGCTACTGGCATTTAGTGGATAAAGGTCAAGGATGCTGGTAAGCATCCTATGATGCACGAGTTGGCTCAACTCACCTCTTTAAGAATTGTCTGTCCTGCAATGACCACAGAATTCATATTAGAAAAAATGCAGTAACTTTTGTGCAAGCCACTAGGGGAGAAGAAGCAGTAATGAGTGACGCAGATATGACATTTGGTAGCACACATTCTCTGTGCATTGTGTCCCATTCTAGAAAGGCTTGAAACATGATGGAGATAATGAATTTGGTGAATTTTAGGACTATAAGAAATTAGGTTCTAGTTAACTAGTTCTTGTTTTGTTTCTGTTCATTTGTGGAGGACCTCCCTCATAATAAAGTTGTACAGTATGTCATTATTGAAATCTATCTGCATTCCTTGTTACATGAACCAATCATCAATGAACTGTAATTGCAAGTTACAATACAATGTATTCTGATTGACAAGTGGTACTCCAACCCATTAAACTTTGCCATCCTTTGACAACTAATAACTCCATTGATATTGTTGGCTATTCTGGCAGCTACATTCATTGATTATTAAAATCTATCATAGAGGGGAATATGATCAAATAATTTAATACTGTATTTCCCAATTCATTTTGTTTGTTATGCTTGTAATTTTGAAGCTTTTTCCAATAAAATCTATACTATATTTTTTACTTAAGGTAAATGATATCAAAATGGATTATATTTGAAAACTTTTAAAATATTAAGTTTTCCTATGTGAAAAAAATTAGGAAGCATATAAAACTATAGAAGCATGTAAAACTGACTGTGACCATATACCTGAATTATTTACTGTGTAGTTAATATTGTGTTTAATTTTAAGCCAGATATATGAAAACCATGCAGATATATGCAAGACATATATCTATGTATGTATACAATATATACACATTATATATTTTTGATCAAAATGCACTGGTCTTTAAAATCATGGAAGATACATTGTGAAAAATGATGTTACTGAAAGTTCAACATATATAAATTATACATTTATATAATTGTGCCATATACCATTTAATCTAAATATTATTGTTGAGATGTTATCCATTAAGATTTATTATTTGTTATGTACTTATATATGTATATTTCTATATTTGTATCTTTGATTATTTCTGGGAATAAATTCCTAGATTTTTCTTTCTTGTGAAAAGAATGAAACTACTGATATAGACTTAAAACTAGCATTCATAAAAGCTGAGTATTTTCTAAAATTATAAATAGTCATTTTCCTCTCTCAAGAAACTGTAACCTAAATATCATTGCTAACTCAAAATAAAATAAAGTCAAAAAATCATAGGTCAGAACTCCTGGATGCTATAACTTTATTTTGGAAGCAAAAACTCTGGAAAAATAATAGAGATGCATTTAATAGATATGTGATTTGAGCATATTTTAAACATTTCTCATGAGAAGCTGACACCATTTTTCTTGTCTTTGGATGTCCTGGTTCTCACCATGCCATGAAGACCAAAGTATGTTTTCTATTACTATGTCAAATAAAAATTAATAGCCTCTGTTAAATATTAGGTAATAACTACACGCCTCTGTGAAGCTCTGAGCATGTGTGTTACTGCAGCAATGGGACGGGAATCGAATATGCAAGGATAAACGAGAAAAAATCTGCAAATTTCAGAAAAGGCAATGCATCCTGTATTTAGATTAACAGTTGTGACAACAAACACATCCACACTGCCACTGGCACACTGTGCTGTGACCCATACCACAGAGGAGAAGTCTTACCCTGTCTTCTCCATCCTTCACCTGGCAGAGGGAGAGGACATAGGGAGAGGGACAGGGAGGGGTTAGAGGCCTAACTGATAACTCGTAGCCAAGTTTGCACTTTGGTTCTTCTCAGCACAGGGAAGCAGAGGTGATGACCTGAAGATCAACCGATTGTGGACAAGACTAACACAATAGCTGAGAGTTTCTCTCAAGGACTAACGTACTGCCTTTCCACAGAGACCAGGTGAGAGACAACCTCGGGGGGATAGGTTTGGTGTGTTGAAGTATTTAACCAAGATCTTCTGAGAATCTCAGGCTAAGACAAAAATAATGGGATCTGGGAAGATCAGGCTAAGACAAATAAAGTTCATGAAACCTTTAATCAGTGGTGGAGACCAAATTTGATGGGTACAACCTTCGGAAGGGGTATATCTGATGAAAATGGGATTCAGTCCAGTGCTCTGCTTAAGCTTTTGCACCCTTGTCTATATTCAGCAGAAACTAACAGCCTGATATAATTTAGGTAAATTTTCTGGGCTGCGTAAGAGTCTATAATAAAATCACAGACATCTTGCTCTGCTTAAGGGTCATTGATAAGTAATTCTTCGAGTTTTCAATACCTAGTTTATATTTAACAGTATTATTGTCTTTATCACTGTTGAAAAAGTGTCAGATTGTTGCTGTAAGTTGGTTTTTTATGTAAGCCAGTATTTTGGAGTTATAAACAACACTGTGGCACTTTCACAAAGAACCAGGCACAGGACAGGGGAAACTGCAAACCCCAGCACAGAAAATAAACAAAGAAGTAGAAATATAAAAAGAAAAGGTCACAAAATGTCTCCAAATCCTCTCATTTCTTCCAAAGCCAATCCAGAAGACATGGGGTAGGGAAGCCATACAGCAAGCTAGCTAATAAAATAACAAAATGGTTCAATAAGGTACTTGGTTAATTCAAAGAAGATATAAATTAACAGATAATGGATATAAGGAAATAAATGACCGAAGGGAGCTATAAAAAAGATACAAATATGAATGCCCACCACAGAAAAGACTGGGAATAGCTACAAACGTCTAAGCAGATATCCAAAATTGAAAGTATTGGAATCTGTAGTAACCAATGTGATTGGAAGAAATTAAATATTGGAAGACAGTACAAAGGCATAAAAACCTGCTTACTGAAAAAATAGAAAACTTTCCAGACGTGGAAAAAGAATTTGAAATGCAGATAAATTAGGCATATACAAACTCAAATACCAGGATAAGAAAAGAAAAGAAAAAAAAAAAAAAAAAAACCGGAAAACACTCCATGCCAAAGAATACACATTGTTTTTGGCAGCACATAGTAATTTTCTATAATAGACCGCATCCTCCCTAATAAACATGCATAAGTAAATGCAAAATAAACAGAATGAAAATAATCCCATGCATATTATAAGATCACAGTGCAGTGAAACTAGAAATGAAGTGCAAAAGCAGCATCAGAAACTGAAAAAATAGTATGTAAATAAAGAACCCACAACTGAGTAATTCATCTATCATACACACACCCACACACACACACACACACACACACACACACACACACACACACAAAATGAATAAATAAAGTTTTTAGAACTAAATGACAGCACCAGTATAACATACCAGAATTTATGGAACAAAACAGAAGCATTTCTGTGAGAGAAGTGTATAGCAGTAAATGCTCACATCAGAAAAACATAACAAATCCAAGTAAATAACCTGATAATGCATCTCAAGGCCCCAGAAAAACAAACAAGCAAACAAAAATTCAAATGTAGAGTTTTTATAAGGAAGTAAATTATAAATAGGAAAGTGAATATCAATGAAATAGAGACAAAAAATGAATCAAAGAGTCGTTTCTTTGAAAGAATAAACAACAGAAAACAACCCTTAGCCAAACTAGTTCCAAAAAAACCCTAAAAAATTAAAAAGGAAAGGCACAAATCAACAGAAAGGGAAAGAAATAAAAAGAGCAAATCACAATGAACACCACCAAAATCTACAATATTACTAGTAACTACTTCACAAATTTATATGTCAAATAACTGGAAAGTCCAGAAAAAATGAAGAGACCTAAAATAATCAAAAAGAGATAAAACTCTTGAGTACTCAAACAACAGGTAATGAAATTAAAGCTGTAACAACAACAAAGCATCACCAATAAAAGCCCAAAACCTCATGGAGTCCCAACTGAATTCTAAAAGAACTTCAGGGAAAATATGACACCATTACTTCTCACTTTTTAATGAAAGAAAAAGTGAACAAGTACTGACAAAAATCAGTCTTGAAAACCAGTATGATCTTGATTCTCAAGCCAGAGAACAATCCAAAGTAAAAAGAGAATCTCTCCAAAGAACAAGATGCAAAAATTCTCACCATGCCTAATGGTTGATTCATTGTGTCAACTTAAGTCTAGAAGCTTAATTATGTAACTCAGTAGTTTTACATCCTAGGGTGTAGAGAACATGCTCTTACTATACTAGGATATCGTTCACTGTGTCAACTTGAGAAGTTTAGAAGTTTAAGTGACTTAGCATGGGACCAGAGTCCTCTTTCTGAAAACATTCTGAGCCTGTGCAAGAGGAGAGCACAAGGAGGTGGGTACTACACTTGCTCGATGTAGATAACCTGCTCCCAATATAAGGAGAAGACAAATATCCTGCTCGCAATATAAGCAAGTAGAAGAGGCTTTCCTTCCTTTTTGCTCTCATTGCTTTTGCTGTCTTGTACCAAGATGAACTGTTACCCTTCCACCATGAAGCTCTGCCTTGCAGCTAGCTGATTATGGACCAAAATCTCCACAAACTGTGAGCTAAATAAATATTTTGTCCTCTAAATTTGGGTGTCAGGTGTTTTGGTGTAAGTGTTTAAGCAATGAAAGAAAAATAAAAACAAAATATTGGCAAACAAAATACAACACATCATACTTCATGAAGAGTAGACTTGATTCCAGGGATAAAAGTATGTTTCATTATAGGCAAATCAATAAATGTAATTCATTATAACATAATCAAAAACTAATCACAGAAGCAAACAGATGCAGAAAAAAAGCCTTTGAAAAATCCAACACCAATTCATGAAAAATACTCTGAAAATACTATAGAAAATCAATTTAAAAGCTCCTTATCTTACTGATAAAATCTATTTGCAACCAAACTAATGCCAACAACACTTTAAAAGTGGGAACACTGAAAGCTTTTCCTCTAAAATTAACAACACAAGGATTTACACTACCAAAATTTCTGTTCAACATCATCTTTGAAAACTAGTAGTCAAAAAAAAATTAAGGAAAAAAAAAAGGATCTGTGTAGAGAAGTATGAAATCAATGCACTGCTATTTGCAGATGCCAGGATCTTATACCACCAAGACCCAAAAATTCCCCCAAAAGACTCCTAAATATCAAATTCAGAAATGTAAAATACTACAAAACAAACACAAAAATCTATAACATGCCTATATATTAATAATGAACTCACCGAGAGTTTAAGAAAACAATACCATTCACAATACATGAAAATATTAATTATTTAGGAATTAGTCTAACCAAGGAAGTGAAAAATCTTTACAATGGAAATTATAGCAGTCTTGAAAAGGAGACTGAATTGGACAGAAGAAAAGGAAAAAGTTTCCTTGGATAGGCAAAACTAATAAAGTCAAAATAGCCAAAAATTGATATATAGACTTAATGTAATCCAAATCAAAATTTCAACATTATTCCTCATAGGTATAGAGAAAATAGTACTAAATTTTATATTGAATCAGAAGAGACCTAAAATGGCAAATAAATTCTGGGTAACAATAGCAAAGCATGAGGCATTAAAAAAAAAACAGATTTGAAATTATATTCTAAAACTACAGAGATAAAACAGTATTGTACTGGCTTAGAAAAACACATGTGCATCAGCAGACCAGAATAGAAAAAGCAGAAAAACTCTAGACATATTCAGTTACTGGATCTTTGACAAAGGAGCCAAAAACTTACGGTGGAGTAAGGACAGTCTCTTTAATAAATGGTGGTGGAGTAAGTGGTTATCAACATGCAGAAAATCAAATCTAGACATGTGTATCTCGCTACATATTAAAGTTAAATTACAGTGGATTGCAGACCTAAATGCCTAAATAGAAGCACCTAATGTGCTTCATGATAAAATAGGTAAAACTCCTAAAAACATAGACAGAGCCAAGGGCTTTGTAAACCGAAATATAATAGCACAAGCAATAATATTGAGAAACAACAACTGGGATCATATTAAATTAGAAAAGAAACAACCAACAGAATGAAGAGACAACTGAAAGACTGGGAAAACTGTCTACAGCTATCCCACAGAAAGATTAACAGCATTTAGACTGAATCGGTAACTCAAAAAATTATACTCTTCATAATAAAGATACAAAAAAACCAAGCAACCAAAATGAATAGATACTTGTCTTAAGAAGACACACACATCATAAATAAATGTATGAAAGACTGTACAACCTTTAAAAATACATCAAGAAATTATCTTACCACAGAAAAAATTGCTATAAAAATAAAAATAATAAATGTTGATGATGGCATGTGAAAAAAAAAACTCTACATTTTTGGTGCACAAAAACTAGTGCAACCACTATAAAAATCAGTGTGCAAGTTTCTCTTTTTTTATTTTAAAAAGATAAAAGGGGACATAAAAAAAAAACAGATCAGAATAGAATAATTTAAGCAACATAGTGTTTCACCACAAGACAACCTGACATAACAATAGCTACAATAGTGTCTTTTTCCTTGAAATATTTGAGTATATTACATACACTATAGAATCAAACATAACAAAATAGTATAAAACCATTAAAGAGAATCAAAGCTTTACAGGGTATTCAGAACCAACTAGCAGAAAACCAACAATGGTTAATATATTATTTCCTTGTCCATAAAAAAATTGTTTATACTATTGCACATAATAAAATCCAATAAGATACAACGTGATAAAACCAATGGAGACAGAAGAACAAAAGCAAGGTAGGACTTCAAAACAAAATGATATTAAATCAGCACTAGCTATTATAATGCCTTGTTTTCTTCAAAATAGCTGTTGATACCATCATAGACAATATAATCAAACAACCTAAAATAAAACCATTCCAACTAATGAATGAAAACATTATTAGGCTTCAAAGCAATATAATGAGGGTGCAAGTTTCTCAAAAAAGAATAAAAAGTAACTCAACCTAGATATCTTCTCTCT